TTTTCTTCTCTGGCCATATTAAAAAAAAAAAAAAAAAAAAAAACTGAGCCAATTAGTTAATAAGGATTTTGTTCAGAGGCAGGGATGAAGATTTGAGGAAAATAAAATGGAAAAGAATATAAAGACTAGGAAAAAACAAAACAAAACAAAACAAAACAAAACAACCTGGAAAGAAAGTGGTTTTCTATTTAACAGTGCAGTCCAGAACAATAGCCAGAAAAAAAAAAAAATTAAACTTGTCCTGCCTCTGATCTGGCTGTTAAGCCACATTTAAATACATGATTGTGATGGTGTTCTGTGATGTAAGTGCCACAGAGCGTGGCCTTTTTACCTGAAGAAACTTGTTCATATTTGAATCATACTGAAATCATGAGGCAGTCTCAGCAGCACTGCTTTCAATCAAAACTTTCTATAATTCTTTTTATGGTTTCAACAATACTTTTGTTCAGGGATCCCCAAGTCTTCAATCCCTCATACTAAATATATCCACTTACTGAATAAGTTTAAGCAAGTTTAGTACCACAGAGGACACTGTGCACTCTTGTCTGTGCTGGACTGTAGGCAAAACAATTTCAGGCTCAGTACTAAAGGACATTGCTGGATCTCCTTGGGAGCAGAACATTTGATTCACAGTTTTGGGGTTTCCTTACTGAAACTGCAGGTGTCTTTTAAAGACTATTCTTGGCTGTTCTGTTCAGCTTTGAGAGACCTGGTCATCTCTGTGGTGAAAGGAGCAAAGGGAAGAATACTTGCCTCCCTGGCTCTGGACTGGGAAATTTTAGCCACGCAAGATCCCAGCACAAATTCCAACAAAGTGCCAGACTGAGCTGGCAGTGTGGGTGGGCTGTGCAAGGCTTGCTACACATTGCAAAATTCAGCTAATTCACTGAAAATATTGTTTCATCATCCTACTGCATGACTTGATAGGGATGGCTCCTTTTAATGGGCTGTTTTATAATACATGAGTCACTTATTGCTAATGGCCATCTATTTTGCCTTTGTAGGTAAATCATGGGCTATTACCCAGTGAATTGACTCAGAAAAGTAATGCCCTATTTATAGAAAAATACAAGAGACCATACACACCAAAAAAGCCCTCAAAAAAAGTTGCATAATTTTCTTTGCCTTCAAGCAAGGGAAAGCTTTCAGTAACACAAAAATTGACATGAAAATAGGGTTATTAAAGTCATTTTAGGGATGCCAAAGAACATTTGAAATGATTTTCATCTTTCACATTTGCAGACAGTGATGACAACATCCACTCTATGGTCAAAACATTTCTGTGCCTCACAAGAACTTAATTTCTGCCCAGAGGCATAATCTGGTGACTGTGGCTTCTTTCCTCATCACTTTGTTTCCTCTCTCTTGGCAGAGCAATAGGTATTGTGTGAAGCTCAGCAGAGCTGTGAGATCGTGCCTCGATTAGGATTCTCAGCAGGGCCCCTTCTGCTGAGAATTGTTATTTTCCTGGTAGTTAACAGAGCATGAGTAGTAAGGGTTAGATGGTGAAACACAAAGTTACTGCAGACAGCCTGGACCTCATTTTCTGATGATAGAAATTCCCATTATACTTCGTGTTCCCACAAGTTTGTGGTCTGTTGATACCATTTGTTTTAATACATGTAAATAGCAACCAGATACCATGGCTATGATGATATCAAGTACTAAAAATATGCTAAAAGGGCATTTGTAGTCTGTCCTGCATACTAGAAAGGAAATTAATCCTTTGAATAAAATTGACTCCTTAAGATCACCACAAAATTTATAAGAATATAAAAGTATCTTCGAAGAAAGTCTTCAAAGCTGTGTGAAGTCAAAGAGACTATGAACAAAAGGGTACTCATTTATCTTCCCTAATTTGTGTTGTCTTAATGGGAGCTGGAAACAGACAAAAGATAATAAAATAGGATTTATACGCTCTGATCTTGCTCTTCTTTCTTCCTGCTACATGACCTTGTACAAACCACTTGCTCCTAAGGAACTGTACAAAGAATTCAACAATATTTTAATCTTTAGTCCCTTTTCCTCCCTGATGTCATTAAACTATTGTGCATCTTTTTTCTGTTTCGGTAAAATCTAATTAAAAATCCCCATCACTGACAGGTATCTTTATCAGAAATACTTTTATTCTTTCTAGTAAAAAATTACCACAGTTGATCTAAGGCCTTAGCTACACTTACTGCAGTCCTTTTGCCCACAAGATACTTCATCTTTACCTTTGTGTATCACTGAGAAGTTGTTCCCCTTTATTTATCAATTTCTACATAAATCTTCAGATTTTTGAAAAGTCACTAGAAACCTCAGAATATTTTTTTGCTTCAGAATTCTTTTCAAACGTACTCTTCTCTATTATTTATGGTGGGTCTTTTGAAGCAACCTTGCTGTTTCTATGATGGTAGATATTGACATTTTGTCTTGCTAAAATTGACTATAGAGATCCTTAGTGATTCAAATGTTCCACTCCCTTCTTTTTCCTGCACTTCCATAGTGCACTGAATTCAGCTGGCTCAGAAAAAGTAGTGTGAAAATATTCTTGCTACTCTGATAGCCTCAGAGACTATCTATCAATTTCATAAGAAATTCTGGCAGAAAAGCTGTACAAGCACGAAGATTCTCAGTCAGCATCATGTGGCAAGATGCATGTTTGCCCTGGCAAAAAGCATTAATTCCTATTTCTGGGGAAAAAAACAGAGGAATTGCCTTAATGCTGTATTTCTCTAATAAAAAGAAAGAAAACTTATTAATGGTTCCTAGATGAAAGTTTAACAAAAAAGAAAAAAAATACCTGTATTTTTTGGGCGTAAGGTTTACGTGGAAGGAACATCTCTCATTTCACGTTGCTCAACTCCTAGTGCATGGATGCTTTCACCACTTCTGATGTAACCACCACCTTTTCATGCAAGGCTGCCAGCTCAGGAGAACAGAAGGAATCCTGGCCAGCTTAAGGGCTGCACTGTTGGAAACACAGCACGGGCACTGCTTCCGTGCATTGCAAACAGCAACTGTGGAATCCGGACGTGTTATGGCAAAAGCAGTCAAGTTTTCTCACTGCAGTACTTGGCACAGGGCACTTTCTGAAAAACATTTAGCTCTCACTCTGAAGGTTGTTTTTGGTAACAGCTTTAAAGCTGATCAGTCTATGAAAGCACAATAGTGGGGCTTAAACTCATTTTCAGTGCCAGGCAATGAAATGGGACACGATCATTAACTGGCACTTGACAGAAGTGTTACTGGAAACTTCCCAGCAGCCTAACAAATGAGTGCTACACCAGGGGCCCAACTTGGCTAAAAGATGACACTTTGCTAGACAGCTCCTTGGCAAAAAACAGAGGGAAAGAGCTGACGGATCTGATGTCATGTGAAGATGGATTCAAGCTTGTTTTCAAAAGAAAAAAATAACAATTTTAGATTAATGGACGACTCTGGTCTAGTATTGGACATATCTTAGAAATTTTGGGTGTGCCTCAGTGCTTTCTCTATTTTTTTCTATTTTAGCCTGTTTGCATATTAAAAAAAAAAAAAATCAGGATGAACCCAAGTGCATGATTTTGGCTGAAATTCACTGGTATCAATTCAGTAACAGCTGTGACAGAGCAATTGTAAAACAGCATGTATCTACTCCCCACCATCATTTCCTTCAAGAGATGACCACAATATTTGGACATTACTGAAATCAGTAAACCCTAGGCTCATGTTATGACAACATCAATTACCACAACGTTTAATTCAAAGTAATACAAATCACAAATGATATAAAGGAGCCTTAAAACACTAAATTTTAAACTATTCATTTTTAAAAAAGGACATTATAGTTAAGTATTTTGGGCTTCCTTGTGTAGCTATTTTAGAGAAAAATATTTCAACTATTTCATTAAGACACGAAGATGTCAGCATGCAGTCCTCTAAACATCAACTGTTTAAGAGCAGTACAAGAATCAGTGTAAGTTCTGCCATCACTGCTATACACTGCTGAGCCAGTGAGAGTCATCAGGAGTTTTTACTGCAATAGTAGTTGTAATTGCTATTTTGGTTTTGCCTGTGGTCTCATTGCTGATTTCTAAATCTTACTATTGAACTTCAGAGTGTAAGGTGGAAGAGGAAAGGGATGCAGGATCCCTATTTTAATAGAAAAATTCTGGATCCCTGTCAGGGAAGAAGATACCGTGGACAAAAAAAGTGGGAAGAATCAGAAGGACAGTGGCAGAAGATACTCTATAGCCTGGAGAAAAGGTGATTTCTCTGAGGAGGTTCCTAAGAAGCCCCTTGCAGCACTATCGGGAGGATGAGAGACAACAAATGGAGGATGTGCAGTCTTCATCCTTGGAGGGTTTCAAGACCTGACTGGATAAAGCCCTGAGCAATTTGGTCTGATCTCAGCTGACCTTGCCTTGAGCAGGAGGTTGGATTAGAGACTTTCTGAGGTCCCTTGCTAACTCAATTCCCTTATGGTCCTGTGAATGATGGAACACGTGCTATTTCATACTGGGAAAGAAGTGGCAAAGTGGAAAGGAGACAGAAGGAATAGAAACGGGTGGAAAAGTGTTGCAAAATATAACATTGATATACTCCAGATCAGAGGCTAATAGGCTGGATTTACTTGCAACTGTTTGTGGTTTTATTTATTTGAGTTCAGAAAGCAGAATGTCTTATGAACACTATCCAGGTCACCCACCAATTACTAGGAATTCTGAAACCATCTGTCAATTTGCTTTCACAACAATGCAGTAAGGCAACATTTTAGGACTTGAAACCCACCTGTCTGGTGGCACCAGGCTCTGTGAGGAAGCTAGGTTTTTATTTAACTATTGAAACAAAGACAAATCATCCAGGAAAACTATACCAAAAACCAGACCACACCTTACACATTTTATCCTCATTTTCTATTCTGGTTTGGGCTTGATTATTAAATTCTTATTGGAGGTACTGTTCATTTACTTGAATTTCACAGAAAATCTCAGTCTTTTCAGACATTTAGAAATCACAGTATCCAAAAAGATTCATGTATTTTCTTTGGGACAGTTTTTATTTTTTTTTTTGCTACAGTATGTAAATTACAAGCTTGGGTGACTTTCAAAGACAGATATTTACTCCTTTTGCTAAAGGAAGCTTAAGATAAATTTGTTACAAATAACTTTAATTCCTTTCAGATGTTCTTGGTTTTACATTACAGTACAAAGTAGGCAAACACGTTTCCTTAGGAGGGTAACATCCCTTTAGGTTATTGAGTGGAACAGTACCCAGTCACACAAGAATCTGAACTTCCAATGTACTCTGTTTATTTGATGGTTCAAACTTGCCCTTTACTACCAAGAACCCGAAATGAGAGTTTCCCTTTTTGTTACAATACTTCCTACTGCTTGTCACCAGGGCTACTATGCACTTTCCAGGTATGAAAGCAAAGATAATGGGGAAAAAAAAATTAAAACACAGCCTGTGTCTAGATCATAAACTTCTGCTGGCATATCTGGGCTGGGAATGTCTGCTTCCTTATACTGCCTTGAGAAGAAGCCTATAGTACAGTGTGGCTACACTACAGCACAGTGCCTTTCTTGGTCTAGTCTAGGCTGTTTGGGGTGACAGTGTTAAGTATGTGGTCAAATTTTCTGTCAGCATAATGCTGAATCTACATAAAAAGTCTTGCTGGATTTTTCTTTATCACAAGAATCTCTTTGAAATAATTATGCTCAAAGAATAAACAGGAAGGTGAGGGTTTCTAGCAGAGTGCTGCAGGTGATTAAGTGGCACAACTTCTCTGAAGGTACACTAGCAGCCTGAAATCCAGTCATATTTTATGAAAAGTTTTTTAAACTACTGTCAAGTATGGAACCATTTCCTGAATTTTCTTACCAATTACAAATGTTTTCAACTCAGCACAGCATGGTCCCCCTATTGTCAAGCAGAACAGCCATAAAGACAGTGACAGGGAAGGAAACAGAGTAAATAAAAAGTTATACACAAAAGGCTTTAAAATGCACCAAGCGTGTGTGTGAAGGGGAAGCCTTTTCCCACTGTTTTCTTCCTCCTGAAACAATCTTAGCTGTTGCTTGGTATTATTTTACCTCAAACACTCAGACGAGTAATAACTGTGCAAATCCACTATTTCTTTTTGCTTGGATTTACCTGTCTGTGAGATCCTAATCCCTCAGGTCACCCAGCTGGAAGCAATGTCACCAGTATTCCAAAGTAAACAGAACATATAGGAAGGCCAACATCAGGCCCACCTGCACAGTCTTTGGAGTTCCAACACAAAGCAGATTTTGTTCTGTTGATAGCTGCAAGCTTGCTAATGTACTACAGACCATGCAAACCACTTGCACTGACAGAATAGTCACACGAAGCAAGAATTTTCATAAAGGAATGCCAACAGAAATTAGATCCAGATTTGAACCCCTGGCTGCAACTGAGGAGTGAGCAGCTCAGACCAGGAGCTGGACAGCCTGTGCACATGTGCCTGCTCTGCTCCCTCAAATCCTGAGAGACTTGGCAAGGTACCAACCTTGGCATGGCTTGGGAAGGGTGAAGAGATGCTCCAAGTCACGAGTGTAGGTTACACAGAACATCTGGCTGCTCACTTTTCAGTGGGTTCGTGCTGGGGAAGCGCTGCCCAAGCTCCTCGTGGCCTCGCAGGCAGTTCTGCTGCTGATACCCGTGAGTCTTTGCACCAGGAACACAGCACAAAGAGAACATTTGGACCAGCATTTGGACCACTGATTTGAAACTGAAATACTTATTAAAAATTGCTTTGACTTTAAATAGCTTTATAGTTTTAAATAAAATAACTGTTTTAAAATAGTTTTAATTAAATGAACCTAGAAGTTGTGGATCTTTGATATCCATGTCTGATATACTTTTTGAATAAATAAATCTATAAATACATCTTGATCTTTTTGGTGATGAAATGCACAAAAAGTTAATTTTTTTTTTAAGCTGAAATGAACAGTTGTCTCTTTAGGAATAAACTTAATATCCAGAAACAAGCAATGCAAAGTTACAGAAACCCAAAATATATTCTAACTACATAGTCACTATAAATACATAATTTAACTGAAAGCATGCTTTTTAATTACTCTGCGAGTAAATTGCCAAAAAAGAAAATCAAGCTTCTCTTTAAAATAAAAACTAAATAAATAAACAAACCCAGAATTCAAATAATAAACTGAACCAGCCAGTAACACTTTAAAATACAGAAGTGTCTTTCCCTTTCTCCTTTAAAGTAGCCCAGCATTATGATACTCTTGAGGAAAACAAGCAAACAACGAACCCTCCAACTATCATTCTCAAGTTTCATTCTAAAAGTAAAAGTTTTCATTAATTTGGGCATTTGAAATTTGCTAGTTTAGCATAAAGCTGCACATGAGGCTCCCTAGGGTATAAATAAACTAAGCCTCCACAGTGAAAACCAAAAGAGAAATCATACATGCAGTTTATTCTAGAAAAAACATGATTTTAACTTTTACTTTAAAAACCTGTTAAGTGTAACAGTGCATTAGGAACAATCAAGCTCACTAGAGGGACAATTTGCTTGCAAATGTCAGAAAGCATGATCTTTAATGTTATAATTCTGAGCAGTATCTCAAAGATTTCACTTCATAGCATTTTACAGAATAATATCCTAAACCTGAACACACTGCATCATACAAGGTTAGTAAGCAGAAAATCACAGAGTGGAGTGAAGTGGACCCCTCAAAAATGCTGTTTCCTGAGGTGTAAAGGAATTGTTTCACACTCACACCATCAGCAGGGCTGGACCATTGTGCTCTGTGCAAGAACAGCTGCCACACCTCGGCCAGAGCGTGGCCCAAAGGCCTGTGTTTGTAATTCTCACCTTCACTGTCCTGTCAGCGTTCCTCACCACCACACAGAGAGGGCTGAGCACCAAGTGATAGAAATATCCATTGAAAATGACTCTTTGTACTGATCTAAATTTGTTTGTAAAGCTGATAGAGAAAGAACAGATTTTACAATACAGGTCTCAGAACTGCAGGGCAAATAAATGCAAATGTGCTTTATCAGCTGGAACAAGTGCCCTGGAATACTGTCAGGCTGTGGATCTGCAGTGAATCTCTGAGCCTCTTCTGTAGGATCAGTCCCACTTTACATAACTTTCACTCACTGAGAGAGGCTGCAGCCACAGAGTTCCCTGATCCTGTGCGCTCATTTGGGATGAATCAGACACGAGCCCTAATTCCAATAAATATTCATAGACAAAGGCAAGGATCATTATTCCCCATTTATGGAGGAGAAACTGAGGCACAAAGTGATTACTCCAAGTCAGTGACATAGCTGGAGGAAAACGCAGTCAGCCCCACACCTGCTACCAGGTGCTTTAAAATGGGCCAAAGCCACTCGATTATTTAATATGAATAATTTACTAAACATCTTTTGTTTCTGTGTTTAGTGAGACCAGTGATTTTTTTTTTAACCTTCCATTTTTAAAACAACCCACATGATACTGAGAGTAAAGGTCCAAGAAATTTAGTGAAATCTGCCAGCAGATTTAACCCATTCATGATATTCACTGCAAGCTATAAGATACAGGGTCAGCCTGGTAATCACCAAATGAGGGCTCCATGAATGCCACCACACTCTTCTCACTCCACCCAAATAATTACATGGCTCACCAGGAGAAATAAAATGGATAAAAACATTAAGACTTAGAAAAAAAAAATAATGTTTCCATAAAACATAGACTTATTGCATGATAGCTGGAGGCAACACCTTTGCACAAACAGCTGTAAATTAAAGCTGTCGTTTTACTAAGCTTCCAGGGATTGCTTACACAATGTGTGGCAATGGGAGAGAATATAGAAGACAGTTAATTTTCTTCCTTCTTCTTCACTTGTCCAAGTGGATGAAAAGCTACTTGCCTACTCTCAAAAGGATGAAGATAGTAACTTTTTATGCTCCCATACCACGCTGCTACAGTTGTGAACAGATGTGAACATTTTGCCACCTGATCGCTAAACTAAAATTTTCTTGGTTTCTAAGTAAATGTGAAAATATATCATCAAATACACATCACCTGCAGGTGGCAAGTGTTAGAGAACTTGAAATCACAATTGTGTTCTACTCTCTCCAGTAACCACTGGTGAGCTCTCAACGTGCTGTGTCCACTCCTTTCAGCTATGAGAAGGCTATCCAGTGTTTGAGTTCTTCCACATGCTGCAGTATCTGTGTATAATAGAAATCCATGTTGGCTGCAAATTCAGTACACACAGGGGATTCCATGTCACCAAAGGTGCAGTACAGTGCAGTTCCTCCAATGCTAAGGAAAACAGTTGCTATGCACAGCAGAATCAGCAAAATACAGGAGCCACCAGACACTTCATCTGTAAGTAAGAGCAGAAAAGGTGAAAAAAGATGTTATACAAAGCAATACAAATGCACGTGAGAAAACCTGAGATAGGTTTTTATCATGGGTCAGGAGGTAAACACACTTAATAACGCTCACCATGTCAAAGCGACCACAATACATACAAGGAACTTTATGTTTTTCAGTCTTTTCAGAAACCTAAATAATTATACTGCTTCATTCCTGCAGTCTGTGTACCTGTCCTTGCTGAGATCACTTATGGAGTCATTCCACATGAAGCAGAACACACTTACCTGTGAGAATGCGCCACAGCCAAAGCTGTCCTTCATGGAATATTTGAAATGAAACGAAGGCTTTGAAACTGAACCAAATGAAAACATTTTTGCTTCATTTGTAATGACACTGACTGCACTACAATGAACTGCTTGTGATTACTTTCACATTTTGATTACAGACACAAAACCTTCACTGTAGGCTAATGTGAGGGGTTATTTTACTTCCCAGTTATTCTCTGCTAATTCTTTGCATGATTGTTTATTCCAGAGTAGGAGCAATGCAGAGGTTGCAGAGGTGCTGCTACATCCTTACAACCTCACTTGTCCTTGCTAATCTGCATGCATGAACAACATCTGCATCTTCTGTCAGACTGACATGACTCTTAAGAAAATTTCTGTACTCCCTTCACTCTACACCAGGGAGAAGAAATGGGATAAAAAAACCCCCAAAACATTAAATTTTTTTTTGAGGTGTGTGTTTGAAATCAAATTTAAAGTCATAATAACAATATAAAACAACTTTCCTTTTGAATCCCTAAATCCTTGGGGGAAAAGAATAGAAAAAACTCTAATTGGAATTTTAAATAAAACATAAACACTTTCAAAATAATTTCAAGAAAAAGATGGGTTAGGGTCTCTTTTTAGGCTGTGAATGATTGAGACATGCTAACACACTTTTAAGAACTAATTTATACCATTTAGTGGCTGGCATAAACAGTAGATAGCACTTTCTATATCATTAGCAATCAAAAGTATTTTTCTTCATATCTCTTCAGTTAGAATAAGAGAGACCCCAAACTCCAAAAAAAAGCACCCAATTCCATGGTCTACTAGAAAGGGTTGGAAATGTACCCATGGACAAAGCACAACAGACTCATTTCTTCTGCATCCCTCTACCTACACAGTAAATGGATTTAGGGAGAAAGCCTACACCTCTCAGCAATGAACTTTAATGAAAGGACTTCAATTATCTGTCACTTGTAAATAATTCGGCCAGAGGAAAAAAGCATTGACTTAATTCTCAACCAAGCTTTAAAACAGAAGTGTGCTCATTGTATCCTTCTGTAGTCTTGTTACCCAAACCTGGTATGGATTAACAATCTTTGATCAATCACCTTTACATACTAAGTTTTAAAAAACCAAAAGAGTATGTTCAGTAAATGCCTGCTCTGATGTTGTGAACAAAAACATTGACAGTATTTGCACCCCAAGAGCACAACCCATGAATTAATAGCTTTAAACTACCTTGATCCAATGTGTCTTCCATTTCTTGGAATCTCACTCTTCTTTTTGTTTGCCTTTGCTGGACTTGAGCAATTGTTTTTCCATCCCTGTCATCTCTCTTCTTTAGTATAGACACCAATCCTTCCACTGGGGTAATCTATCACAAAAGTCAGCGAATGGCACAAGAGATGTTAAATAGAGCTCATGCTTTGATTTCTCACAATGACTCAGGGAGAAAACAAGCTAAACACTTAATAAATAGTTTCCAGTCTACTTTTCTTAAACAATGCAGAACTTATGAAACCTCCTTCTTGAAGACATCAAGTCCTGAACAGATAGGACAGCTGCAGTATCATTCTGCTGCTTGCTGACATTGCTTGCCCTTGATTGTTACAAAAGTTAAATAAACACGGGTTTTCTGCTTGGATCGTACTTTGTGTTCCTTTGTAAGCTCACATGGGCAGGGGCAGTGGTGAGGCGGATTTGTGTCAAAATCACTATCATCAGAGGGCAATAAGAAGTCAATGACACACTGCTGCTGCCTCTCCAAAGATATAATCCTGCAGAGACCATCAAATACTTATTGTGGGATTAATTTTCCAGCACTGCAATTGGTTCCCCAGGGGGGATAAGCAGCTCCAACAGGGCTACAAAACCAAAGAGAGGGAACACCAGGGAAAAAGAAAGCTTCAGTGCTCTGGATAGATTCCAGCTCCACATTGTAATAAGCTCTCTGGATACAGCAGCAACTCAAAAATCCTTCCCTATAGACTGGTCACCCACACAGCTTGCACAAACAGCAATATGGTCAACAAGTCAATAAATCACAACTCTCTTTTCTTTGGTAAAGCATTTGGATTAGTTGCAAGAATATATGCTAAGCCATACTGGGTTGGCTGAGCAGTCTGTAACTTCCTAGCTATTAATGAAATGAAAGTAGGTGAAGTATCAGGAGAAAAATGCTTTCCTAAGCAAGTAGTTCCTGGTGTGCTAGAAATAAACAGAAATTAAAGTAGAAAGTATGTTTAGAATTGCCCTTTTTTAACCTTGTGAGCACCCTTGCCTCAAAAAGCTAGTAATTATTTCTTCCTAGATCTTAGTAGAACTTTGAAAAACTTAATTCTGTAGATGAGCATTTAACATTTGTTAAGTTGAAAAGCAATAAGTATACATTTGTGCTACAGCTAAAACATATCACATTTACAACTGAATTTGCAGCTCCTCTATTAGAAAGCCTCAAAGGCCTCTAATTTTCACAAAAAACTCAAAACCCCCCAACTTTCCAAGAAACACTGCAGCTGCAGACAACAGACTGCTTAAGCCTATCTATACCATAAGTTAGAAGTGCAACACAAAAACTTGTTTGCATTGCGTTTCCAAGAGCTGTAGAGAAACAGAAAACAAACAACTTCACAACTTATGTCCTTAAGCTTGCCTCATGCCATGAGCTTATATAATGCATCGATGCACACTGTAGTCAGAGAGATGGGGCACTGCACACAGTGAGACATAGGCAAATCCAATAGGCACTGGAGCAGCTTTGGCCTTTGCAACATTTCACTGATAAATGTGGCAATTACACTCGTGGGTCTCTGGTCTGGCAGTATTTTATAGCTCTCAAATGGATAAATAACTATCCAGAACAACTTAGGGGATAAAACTGATCTCTGCCACACTTTTGACACTCACTTTCCCTTTTGTTTATTTGATCAAGAGCTTGAGTGCATTACGTAATGAAACAATGCAAGGAAGTACTTGGAAAATAGTGAAAGCGTGGAGGCAGAGGAAATAAATTGTTTAAGTCAACATGCAGAGGACCAAGTAGTTGGCACAAATGACCCAGAAACAATAGTCTGCAAGTGTCTCATCACAACAAATGAGTGCACTGAGGTGCAGCTTCTACTGGTAATGTTAAATTAGCCTTGCAAAACGGCCACGGAAGTCTAACAGGCCAGCAGAAAAATCTACACTTAAGTTTCTTTCTTGTGACAAGGAAGGAGGATTATGTAGGAGTGCTTTAATTTGACTTATTTATTTGGAAGGGTGGAGATGAAATGGTATCCTTTAGTAGAGTAGATTATTTTAAGCCTGTGCTTACAGCATTGCTTTCATAAAGAGGATCAATGGCTCCTCCCACACCACCCACACAGCAGGCTGGCTGTTGCCTGGCATGATTATTCCCAAGTGGCTTGGACTGCACAAGGTGGGAATGTCACCCAGAGATGCCAGGGCATTCCTACCAGTCTGCCCTTAGATTAGAAGTGGTGGTCTGTTCTGCAAGTCATCATTGCAACCTGAGCCACTTCATTCTGTCTGCTGGCTCTCGGTACTTTCTGAATGACTGTGTCACAAAGTCGCTTCTTCTCCAAGCTTAAAACCAGAGGGCTACCCTTGAAAGGATTATGTGGAAATGTGTTTCAGTAATTACAGTTACATAAAAGGCTTTCTGGAGGAAAGTCTTGCTACAATGAGCTTCATTTACTTCCCCTGTCAGCCTACATGGCTACATTTCACGATTTACTTTAAATGTATAAAGAACTAATTTGACACAGCACAGGTTTCTCTATTCTGAATATCTTCTTTTTCTTAAAAAGAGGGAGCAAGTGCTTTTGATTTTGCAATAAAAATCAGAGTGGCTAGTGTTACTTCCCTATCCTAACAAAAGCCATAAACTGTATTTTGAAAAATGGCCCCTTTACATGATATGAAATTCATACCTAGAATAGAATCATAGAATATGTTGAATTGGAAAGGACTCACAAGGATCATCGAGTCCAGCTCCTGGTCCTGCACAGGACACCCCAAGGATCACACCATGTGCCTGACAGCATTGTCCAAGAGCTTCTTGAGCTCTGTCAGGCTGGTGCTGTGACCACTTCCCTGGAGAGCCTGTTCCAGTGCCCCATCATCCTCTGGGTGAAGAACCTTTTCCTAATATCCAACCCAAACCTCTCCTGACTCCGCTCCATGGCATGACTATACTTCATCTGCCATACTTCATTTGCCTTTGAATTTTACGAGTTATGCACTTAAGGTTTTTTGTCTTTGTCTGCAATACACAAAGTGATTATATTAGATCCATCTCCCACTAATTAAACATCCAAGGAGAAGGACTTAGCTGCCACACAGGACGAAGTTTTACATCCCACTCTTTAGGAGGCAGGAGGAATTAAAAAAGGCAGAATATATTATTTAAATTGGAAGTTAACGAGGGAGCTGTGGTTAATACAGTTGACCACAAGTCAAACAGAGGCTTGACTTGAACCACAGGCAGAAAAATACAGGCTTGCACCAGACTGCCCTGCAAACAGCTCTTACATGAAACAGCTGCATAAAGGACCCTATTGAAACATCAGATATTTTCTTAATTCTAAGCTGCATAATTAACAAAAGATGGTCTTGGAGCATCTATGTGACTGAGCTTACTCAGCTCTGCTGGCCTTCTCAAATCTTTCGACTGGAGCTTTTATAGTCACTCTACAGGAACTGAAAGTGGCATGCAGGTGTGTGGTGGCATTTTCACCAAAAGTCAAAAATGAAAGCAGCAATGACTGTTGGTTAATTGAAACTCTGTTAAATAAAGCTTTTCTCTTTCCCCCACCATTAATAGAAAGTGAATCTACTTCAATCAAAAGTTTCACACTTTTCAGATAAATTTTAATAGCCAGGTTGCAAAATTAGAAGAAATAAACTCTAATTAAATCACCTCTTTTCTGTTTAAAACAGCATTTGGTAATAAAATATCAAAAAGCTTCTTACATTACACTTATTTTCAACAAATATGACGTGTGTATGTTATATTTATAAACACACTGGACAAAATTATGAAAATAAAGCCTTGTGATTCATGTTCTTAGAGAAAACATATTGAACTTGACAATTAGAATTAGTTGTAGCATATAGACATAAATAAAAACCCCCAAATGGAGGCACTACAAATTGAGAACTAGGAAGAAAAGCTCATTATATGAAATACTTTGGTCTGAATGCAGAAAACTAGTCAAGAAGGTTTGTGTATTCTTCTGTGGGCTGTATTCCTTATTCAGTTACTTGGCAGAGAACTGTAGTTTTATTACAAGCAATACCAGATTATTTTAAAGCAGTAGTCTCTGAAATGACAAAACCCAAGACTGCCTTGTTTTAACATAAAAGCAGCAGACAAACCCCTTTGCTAATAAAATACATTATATAAGTGGGTAATTTGACTTTGAAGTAGAGCTAACTCAGCAGATTCAGTATTCATACCACAGCTACAGACAGTAACTATTTTTCCTGCTGATAAACTTGCCATGCAAGTACCTACAGCAACAAATAGCTCAGATACCCTGAAAGCACTTCACATGGAAGTGCAGTTCTTACAAACTCAGAGCTATGGGACCCAAGCTATACAAGAGAACAGAGGATCCAAAACATTGCCTCCAAACCTAGTGGAGACTTCATTTCTTGGTATACAAAATGCCATCCAAAAGCTTTATGTTTTGTTAGACAGTCTCATTATCTATGCTTTCTAAAAAGAATGTCCCAATTATAATTTTCTAATAAGGAGAAACTTTAAGATTTTATTCACTTCCCTGTCTCTCACATAAAAAGTTTATGCTACAACCTTTTATTTTATATAGCAAAATGCAACTTTATTGAGGTTACAGTTTGTTTTGCCACTGGTGTGTCATTTCATTCTCACCGAAATGGTAGCAAAGATATCTAAGAAGAGCTATATACTTTTAGTATCTGTTATTGCCAGTTTCTGACTGTGCTACAAAGCTCTTTGTATAAATCCTGTTTCTATAAAATGACTGTAGTTTTCCATCATTTGCATGTTGTACATGGTTTGTACTAGTGAAGAAATATCCAATATAAAGGCCCGTACAATAGGAAAACTACTATTTCAGTTTTGCAACTGTTGAAATCCAGAGTCAGAATTTGGTGAATTTTCACTCTTGTAATTAGTTATTGTAAATGATAAACTAAAAGCAAGTGAAAAAATATCTAAATTAGAAAACTGCACGAGATGATTCTTGGATCTCAAGAATGGAGCCAAGCAAAACTTCCTAACCATAAATATATACACAAGTACTTACCCTTCCCCATTTTCAATAAATTATTATTACATGATAATTGCAATTGTCAATTGAAAAACATTAATGAAATTTTATCTTACTATATGGGTTTTGTCCCCAAGTTATTTCAAAATTATCTTTACTCCCACCTCCCATTCTAATTTGTTTGTGGCAATCTCATAAACACTTACTTCATGACAAGTTTTATCACAGTCAAATTGATTATTCTTTTCTTTTTTACTGCCACATTGGTACATTTCGTGGGATTCATTTCATTTCACTCACGTGGCTACCTATGCATTTTCTAGATACCTTCTGTTCTGTTAACAACCAGTATATGAAAACACTGTTATCTTCTTAGGTTGCCATAGCCTGAACAATGCAGTTTCAAATCCTTCAAGAGGACAAGAAAGGAAGAAGTGTCACAGCTGGGTACTAGGATCGGTCTGCTCATCAAAACTTCAGTGCCATCTTATTTTAGCATTAAAACAGAATCAATGGACCCAAGTTAACTATGCTGCTTTCTCAGAGATGCCAAACTCTTTCAAATGTGTCTTCCAAGAAGGTTGTGGGTGCTCACCACTTCTGAAAAACAACCCCTAGGCTACTGATGGGCGGTAAGATTAACTGGAACAACATCCTATAGGTGTATAATGAAACAATACAAGCTGGTGTGCTGTCCTTAACTCACCCTGCCGCACCTAGAAATCTCAAATATTGCGAAACAACCCCAGATGCTGCATATTAAAAATTTTAATTGCTACTGACTTTAATCCTTCTTCCCTTCTCCCATTTAAGCCCCCTGCCTCACACAAAACTCAGGCCTCTTGCTAAGAATGATTCAAGTGAACTCTCACCAATGCAGCCAACATGATGCCTTATATGGGCAGAAAAAGTACTATGGAAAAACTCAAGGTACTTTTTCCTCCACAGAGACTCAACTCTGCCATCACAGCGCTGGCAGCCCCAGCATCAGGAGAGCAAACTAGAATTGAAATTAGATGCCCTGTAAAGCATCATCATCGGTCACAGGGACAATCAATACAAACATATTTTTTCTAACAGTATCAGTATGCTGCTTCCTATCCCATCCTCTGAAACACAAATGGCACAAACAGAGCTACTTAAAAATAGATGCTCTTGGATTAATTTAGGCTTTGTCTATGTGAAACAGAACAGTACTCCTCTGCTAAAATGCAGAACTTTCAGTGGGCTCAAAAGAAATTTAATGCTGAGGGATGATACTTAAATTACTCTTTCGTTATACAATATACGGGCTTAGCACAGACTGTCAACAAAATGCTCTTTTTCAAAACCACTCTCTAAGTGAACACAAGCCAACGGACTTAGTTGAAAATTCGGGATACATGTATTAACACGTATGTGTGTTTCCACATCTGCTTGTTTACAGCATTGTGCACATGGCTGTCGGTCCTGGCATAGTTCCTGCGAGCCTACAAAAATATGAGAGGCATGATCTTGGAAAGGATGTAAGCAACTGTTAAGGTGAGGAGAAAAACAAAAATGCCCTCTTTTCAGTTCTGGAGACTTTACCAAACATGTAGTAACATCAGCAGTGATCTCCACTATTTAGCTCCCTACTTGGCCACTGTCCTTGAGCACTTGTGGGGGTTCTTGGACTCTGTGCATTAGCTTGATCTATAGAGAAGTACTGTAACTTTATTGCCAAGGGGATAGTCTATTGTCAAAGATCTTAAAAATAGAGATGAACTAAGAAGATACCTTCATACAAGTCTTCCCCCTCCAGCATCTGAAATAACATCATTTCACAATGCACTCATTTTTTCATTAAAAGAAAAAAAAAGCTCTTAAGGTCCCATGGATGCAAATGCAGCAAAACCAGAAGACAAATAAAGCAAAGATGTCGTCATTACACTCTCCAAAAAAGTCTCAAAGCAATAAATCTTCTCTATTTTCAGAAGAACAATTTAGCTTATGAAGCACTCACCCTTCTTACAGGCCTATCAGCAGTGCATAAGGAAGGTGGGTTCAGGGTTAATTCTTTCTTAGCTTGGGCTGAACAAATCTGCCTAAACTTGACAAAATCAGAAGCCCATTCATTCATATACAGAATTTATATATTTAGTTCTCACCTTTTTGGAATAAGCACAAAAAGCAAACTTTGTTCTATGCATAGAAATGAACAGTGGTACATCACAGGCATTATGTAGATTTCTGACACAAAATTTGATTTAACAGGAAATGTGAGAACATCTCTTAATAGCCTCGGTCAGAATTTAAAAAAAAAAATTAACCCCCTCCAGGGTATCACACTCATATATAAGATCAATCTTATTTTTGAAACACACACTGCTGGTAAAGAAGGAGACAGAGAGGCAAAATGAAACTTTTTTTTCTGAGTAACTCAGAACGATTAAATAGGTATACATTTCAGATTTGAAAAAGTGATACATAAAAGAATATTTAACACTTTTTGAAATTGGCAATATCTAAAATATTTTAACTGAGATAAACATGAAGTATTTTATAGGATTCATAATATTTACCTCAGTAATCTCTATCCTTCTTGTAAGTTCATCAAGAGAAGAAAAGCTGTCATCCAGTGATAAAGCTTCCAGGGAGTTATAAGATGCTCGTTCGGGTGAAATATCTGGAACAGTGTCAAAGTCCTCTTGGTTTGCTAAGTTTGCAGATTCTTCAGTATCTATTATGTTACCATTTAAAAATCTCAGAAATAAATCTTCTTGTTCATTATTGACCTTCTCCTCCTGTCCTGCTGCTCTCTGTATTTCCTTGGACACCTGTGAACAGGCAGTACTCTCATGCTCAGACACTTTATTACACCCAGAGCATTCATCTGATGCAGTTCTGTCCCATGAAGACTGCTCATCATCATCATCAGGCTGTATCTCTTGCTGCTTTAAATCAATATTTCCAAGCTGGCCACAAGCAACTTCTGAAGACCCAGCAGCATGTTTTGATCTGAGCAGATTTCTATCAGCTGGCACATCTTCATCAGAAGGAACCAAATCAGCAGGCATATAATCAGCATCTATTAAAGACAAAGCATCTACCATTGGCTCAAGAGGGAGTTTCACTCCAGGCTCCCCAGCCCCTTCTATTTTTACTGCATCCTTGGAGAGCTGTCTTTCCCTCAGCTGCAGACTGTTATCCTTACCAGCATCCCCAGATGATAAACAGCCCGAGGAAGGCCTGCCCACTGTCCCTGTGGACTGGGTGTGTGGCTCCAGTGTTGATCCAGCGCTGCAGTGCTGCTCCTCCATGTGGTCCTTTCCTGCAGCTACCCGAAGCCTTGCTGCCTCTGTCTGTCTCTCAGTTTTGTTTTCACCTGGGCAAACAGCGCTCGGCTGTTTATCTTCTTTCTTTGGTCCAGCGCCAGGACAAGTTTCAGTACCTAAGTGCAATAGGAAAAACAGTTCCAGAGTTTTTAAATGATTCAAAGCATCAGCCCAGGGGGGAAAGAGTATACTGTGATTTGATAACATTGTAACCTAATGCTTCAAAATGCTCTCCCATAAATGGCAGGCATTTTATGCTCCTGTCAGGAAAACTTTTGTTAGTAGTCTCTGACTCCTGATTCAGGGGAAAAAAAAAAAGTATTTGCTCACATCTTGCAGGTGAAGCACATGATTTAGTGTCCTTCTGAAAAAACTACTCCCAATATGTAAGCAGATATCTTTCTGAACAGTCACTTTTCTTCTAATGGGTATTTCACGTGAGTCATCTCACAGAGGCCTGGAGTTCAAGCAAATGCACTTAATTACAGAAAACTGTATCATGATGCCAGTGCATCTACCACCTAGGGAGAGATATGCACTTCCTTTAAAGAACCTGAAATCATCCTAATTTAATAAATTTTAAATCTGTAGATCATTAGCTCCTTTGGTTAACATTAAACTAAATAGACATTACATTTCCCATAAATGGACAGCATAAAAAGATGCTGCTTTTTGAATCAGTAAATTAGTTTATATATTAAAAATATAATTTGATGCAATTAATTTCTGTATACATATTTATAATACATATAAAATTATTTTTTCTTATATGAAATTTCAGAGACACACAAGCTCTACATAGGCTGTGAATTCACCTACTGTTGGCATGATCTACTGATGGAGGAGTAGATGGTTAGCCCAAGTTATCTATGAATTACTAGATATTTACCAATATGAGAAAGCCAAAACTCTGTTTTTAGGCTTAAAAAGAGAGAAAGGGGCTGTTAAGAATTAAAATACCCAAGTAAGCTAGCTATGACAGAAATTGCATTTTATTCCATACTTTTTAAAAACTAAGTTAAGACTATGCTATAATAGAACTACCATTGCAGTAATAGTAATAACCTCAATCAACAAATTAATAACTTTAGAAAACACTTATTTGTATTTTTTGGTCACAGTAAAGTCTTACAAACAGATTAATAATGATATCAAACAATGCCTTTCTTAACTGAGTTCTCTATGCCAATTTTATTCTTCCTCACCTATTAAAATCTCTCTTAAAATGTGAGCAATTTCCTGAACTTGTTACACAAAATAGTCACATTTATTAAAATAAATGTTTGCATTAATTCATCTTACTGAATAATTTTATTAAATTCCAAAATTATCCCCCTTTTAATGGACAATGAAATGCAAGGTAGCACAGAAAAGACAGACTTGAAAATTAACAAAGATAATATCCAAGCAAATCAAAATGTGGAAAAAAAATATCAGAATGACATTGATAGAAAGAAAGAGTACAAGGAACCTAACTTCTGTAAAACACTGAAAGAATAGGTGTGAGACAGGGACTTTTTAAAAATTAGACACAGATGAGTAGATAGCTCAAAGGATTTGTAATGGGATACTGAGCCCTTCACATACAGGTCATGAGTTCAAACACAGCCTGGATTATTGGTACAAGATTTTATTACCATCTGTCAATTTTTCCTAGTGGATATATCCACATCACAACAGGCATCTTTGTTGGCAGCCCCAACTGCAACAAAGATTAAATGGAATCGGAAATTAAATCAGATTCTTTACTGTGAAAGGTGTCCCTTGAGCTCAGGGCACTGTTCCTAAGAAAGTAATAAATGATCCCAGCACTGTTATCTAACCACAGATGTACAAGAACTGGGATGCAATGATCATTCACATCAGGTTTTCAGCAGTGTTCAATATTTACAACTACTTCAGGGAACCCTCACCCCCTATAGACTGAAGGCAAGTTAAGACAAATACTTGAAGACTTAATTAGAAAAGATGCCTTTGCCTACACTAAGTTAAATGAAGACACTGGGCACTAATTTTTACCTGACTGACAGAGGTACAACCGAGTGTCTACTGAAAGTTTTTAGCAACAAAAACACTTTTGGTAATTTAAAAAAGGGTTTATTTTCTGCCTAACAGAGTTGAATTAGGATCCACACTTGGTTTGCTCATCACAGAAACCTGTAGGCACTACTTGGTCCTGTTAATCCAAGACAGCCTAGCAGACAGAGTAATCTACAGTAATCTACCAATGGAGAATTCACACTTCTCCATCCTTGTCCTTCTTCCCAATTAAAAAATCCCACAGGGCCCAAAAGAAAATAGGGTATAAAGACTTCCTCCCTATCCTGGAAACGAGTCCAAACTATATGTACACACTGCAAACTTATGCTAAGGGTTTTGTTAAATTCAGTATTTCATTAGGAAGGTTTTCATGAAACACATATATTTATCTTTAGTTAACACTAAGGCTATTAGGTTTCTGCTTTCAGTCAGAAACTGAAGAAATTCATGGGTAAAGGATGTATCAATTCTCATCTTTTAATATACGCACACAGTATTACGGACCAAATTCTCTGTTGGTAAATTCAGAGTGAAAATCTGCCAGTAAGTAAAATTTAATAGAACAGACCATTCACAACCCTTGCTCAGAAGGGCAGAAAACTAATTAGGTACTGTCTCAGGAATCCTGACTGGATGACTTCTTATAAAGCTGTTTGTTGGTCACTGTAGGCCCAGCAGAGAGGAATCACGAATTCTCAGGATCAACTGCCTACAGAGGTTCAAAGTGTGTTTCCATATACCTTAGCAGATCAATGGAATCATTTTTGCTTCAGATTACAGGGAAGTTTGATTTTACTTCAAAGATACTACTATAGTGCAGTGCAACTATCTCTACAATGTAATATAGATACTGCCACAATGCATTTTATGTTTTCTTACTAGTAATTGCTACGTAAATTCTTATTAAATATGAATCCATATGAAGGCCAGTTCTCAAAACACTTGAGAGTTTCCTTTTCCTGTCTTACTGTAAGTCAGACTTCTACAAGCAGCTAAATGAGATAAGTAGCTCTTCCTGTGGTTTGGCGGATACACGTATAAGGAAAGCAAAACTCCACATGTTTACTTCTCATATTTCATTTCATTTTTCTTTTCTTTTGAGAAAAGAACCACCTAAAAAGCAGAAGTCAAGCATTCTAAGTTTTCAGTGAGAAGGCCTGTGCATTTGGGCTACTGCTGAAAAGCTTAATATTAGGAACTGTATGTTTATTACAATACAGGATTCTTCAAATATACGGGTTCAGGCAAAATCAAGAACCAGTCCCAAATGGTCATGTTGCTTCTAGTCCTGAGTTGGATCACTCAGGCACAGCTTGTTATGTGAATGTTATTTCAGATAACAATCACCTTTGTCAAATTTCTGTCCTGGTTCATACTGATGCCTTCCCTACCCAAATCCTCCTAACTGCAACCAAACCCATTCATCCCCATGCTAGTGATGCATTGACACTGAAGGGCAGCAGCAGCTAATGACCACACGCTGCCTCAACAGCTGCTCACACTCGGCAGGGGGAGAATTCACTGCTTCCTCAAAACGCACTTACATTGTGAAAAGCATCTTTAGCAAATCTCAACCATTTAAACTCGAGTTAGGGTGGAAATATTCCAATCTTTGTATTGAAAGTACTTAGCACTGCTGAAGAATTCTCAGCAGAATGCTTTTATTGGATGACACGGCTTTATTAATTTACCAACATTTCACAGGAACCCAAAGATATTGATGATATTTTGACAAGATTTACATTAGGAGAAAGGCATGAAAAGATCCATTTGCACCATTAATTCCTTCCACATAAAGTCAAGGTGTTATACTAGAGTATTACAAAATTGAAACAAAATGCTCCTGAATTCAGAACGTTCAAATGTTCAGAAATTATGCTCTCCAGAAAGCTTTTGTTCCCACTTGGAATAAAATCAGAGGAAAAACTCTAATAGTCTATTTTTTTTCCATGGGAATTTCCAACTATCCAAAAATAAAAATCCCTGCATTCTTTTGATCTGCTTTCTGAGCTGTAGAACATGTTTGTTTCATGTTTCTAATGCTTTGTGTTTAGTTAGGTTACAAGAATAAAAGTGGGGAAAAGGCAGCACAGGGGTCACAGTAAAAGAGCATGGAGATTAGGAGGATCCACACGTAGAGAACTATGACTCTGTGTCTTCATTAATTTCTGATTCTCCTGAACATCCTGGCTGATACACACTTGTAGGCTGGTTTAGGTTGAAAAGGACCTCCTAGGATCACTTAGGCCAGTTCTCATCTTCTGAGGAATTCTAGCAGGTTTTGAGGAAAGGTACTTAGCTTAAGCCAATTTTGGCAACAGGAATATGGCAAAATACCAGAAACTTTTTACTCAGAGAGAGGAGAGACAAATCACAGCCTGGTTGTCTACCAATATTCTTTCCCACTCTGTCCCCATTTTAACAATTCATTAATTTGTAAATGTTTCATAAGAACCCAAAGATTCTAACAAATTACTCAAAGAAAATGGCCACTGCCCCAAGGCAGAAAAAGGAAAATGAGGCTGACATAAAAGTATATACTGAAAACAATTAAGTGAATGTTTTTCTCTTCAAAACCCCTCCCAAAGGCTTCATCATTTTCTGTGTTGCTTCAGAAAAACGCATCTCAAAATCAGTACACTGCATGTAACTCAAAACAGTTACTAATACTGTTAACTGTACTCCATTGACACACCTCAGAATGTCTGCCATCAGGTTGATTACCTAGTATATATCTGTATACATACAAATTAGGCATTTTATCTTTGGTTTTATACAACTTTGTAGCTTAAATAAGCTACTACAAATGCATGCCCATTTAAGACTTTTTTAAATGGAGGTCAGAATCACTTTACAATTATAATATCAATGACTAATTAAAATCGCATTATTTATCCATTGTGCTGAGAAAAAAAAAAAATCATCCATTTGTGCATCTGTAGAGACCCAACAAGTCCTGTAGCTTCAAATGAAATCGTTTCATTGTATTTATAGGAATATGTCATTACAGTGTAATATTTAAAACAAATGTATGCACATGTACATACATACACACATACCTGATTTAAAAGCAGTAGCTTCTCTTTCCTTTAAAGATCTGGATTCCATTAACTGAGGCAAACAACTGCTTTCCCATATATTTTCTGCAGCTACTAGCTGTAAAATATGATAGTATTACCTGTAATTTTTGAAATTAAACAGGAATGCTGTGACTTTTTGAGACATTCAAACTTCAAAAAGCTTCTAAACTTGAAAGACTTTATCTAATATTTAAAATATATTTATTACCAATTGTTGACAAAGCAGAATTCAATTAAACATCTGCTTACCTTATTTTTGGATGCCTGTGGCCTGCAGCAACAAAGGAAAAAAGAAAAAATTAAACAACCTAGTGACAACATTCTTCATAGTAAATATAAGTGAAATCTTAGAAACCTTTGCTCTGCTCTAAAATTAGCACAAAACTTTTCTTCCATTGTCAGCCTGCTAGCATACTTTCAAGCACAGATCTGTACTTGCATGAATATCATCAGAAGACCAATCAGCAGAAGACCAATCAGCCCTAACATACTTCCATCTAATTGAGAAAGTAGTCAAAAGAAAATTTACTGCAACATATCAAGCAACGTGCATGCCTATGAAAGGTTATGCTCTGAAGAAACTCTACCAACTTTAAAAATCATATAAGAACTTGATATGTACTACTATTAAAATAGTGATCACTATAGAAGAGATTGAGGAATTAAATGCCCTCCCCAAAAATATTTCCCTCTCCACAGATGGGACATTTTATGGGTTCTGTAAGGTACAGCAGCTCCCACTGACTCCATTCAGATTCACAGGTGAATCAATGCTGCTCATAGCCAGTGTGGACTTTGCCAGCTGGATAGAGATTCATGTACCATGTGATTTATCACAGACAATCTGTCTTGCAGTCTTCCAGCAATGAAGATAAAATGTGGAGCATTTTATTTAAAGCTACTGAAAAAAAAATTGGAGAGACATGGGAAGAGTACTGATGTTCACGTTCTCCAACAAAAAATTCAAAAAGTTACACTGACTTTTAAATTTTACTACTTAAACTTCAAATAAAGGACACTCAAAGCTATTTTTAAAGAGCAAACATGTCCAGTATGTAGATGTAAACCTTGAGTATTAGAAAAAGTTACATTACTTTCAATTACAAAAGCAAAATGCTCACGTTTTCCAAGACCTGCATGTCATTTATTAAAGATTAAAGTGTAATTTAAATCAAAATGTAAAATGAGTTTAAAGCTTAGGAAAAAACCCTATATGAAACAATAAAAGCAAATAGGCTTTTGCCTAGAGAGTTTGAAAGAGTAATAATATTAAATACAGAGCACTGATCACGGCAAATGAACACAAGCCTTAATTTTTATCACATTGCAGGGTTTCTCAGAACAGGGAATGGTATTTCAAAACTGAAAAGAAGGAGAAAGCAGAGTTATTCTCAACAAGGTGACAAGCCAGGTGACAACAGGGAGGAGCTGCTTGTTGCAGTATATAAATCCCAGCAGACCTGAGCCTCAGCCTTTCTGCGGGTTGTGTGCAGGGAAGTGCAGGTTTGAGGCAGCTGCAGGCGCTCAGTGCAACTCCTCAGCAGCAGCAACCTGCAGCTCCAGTGCTACTCCTGCCCCCTCTTCCTCTGGGAATACACGAATGCCTGTCCAAGGGCTCCCTCCCAAAGGCATTCAGAATACACATAAAAAATCCCTGCACAGAATCCCTGATTCTGGCAAGAAGCCGGGGTGTTTTCAAACTTTGGTACCATCACTCAGAAGAAAACATTTGATAGCCAAATCATACTCTTTATGAGCAACAGGAGCATTTTGGCTTTTGTTATATCCAGACCGACTAAGCCAATGCAAGTGTACTAGAGAAAGTTCTCTCTCCCTATCTAATTGAGAGCATCTTCCCTGCCACAGGCAGGCCTTTTCAGTTTCCTTAGTTTCCTTATTGCTGTTGGCTGATCATTTTTCAGTGGCAGCTTGTATGATTTTTTCCCATCTGTTCCTTAAAATCAAGGTCTGGACAGGAGGACATTCACCCATGAAAGAACAGATCTCCTCCTTCCTGATGGGTACAATCCATCCGTGTTGCTACCCAGAAAAGCACCCTAGGCAGTGCCCACAGGTTTGTTATATTGTGACACACTGACTCAGGAGGCTGATGGATCAGGCTAAGCTGCTATGAACTGAGATTTCACTGTTCAAAACACTGTCATGCTGGGAAAGTATGGAATCACTGCTTCATGTAAATGCAACCTCTATGAAATTAACAGAAGGTAACAAGAACTACTTTAAGCATTTTGTCCTAAAATGTGGAAATATGGGAATAAAATCCTATAGGGTAGGTATGGGTGCTGAAGTCTGAGATACTGGACACTTGCATTTTGAAACGATGATTAAATCAATAGATATTAAGACATGAACAGCATCATTAGTTCTACAGTCCCTCTCTTCCTGAATTAACACTATTCAGTTTTCCCTTTGGTGGAAAAAATAAAACTCAAAAATCCAGTTCTGGAAAACTATGATTTGCTAAAACAAGGTCAGATTTAGTCTTCAAACATTCCTCAAACAATATTAAAACAATGTGAAAACTGATGGTAAAAATATTTTAGTTACACATCAGAAGGAACCACTACTTTATAACCAAATTCAAGTCAGTAATGCAACTTTTATTTTGACACTGATTATTTTAAAACACCCATGATGGCAAGGAGACAACAGCTGCAGAAACATACTCGTTTGAGAAGTAATAATACTTTCTTATACTTACTGTTGATGTGAGGAGCAAACTCGAATAAGCTTTTCCAGTTCTTGGCCACTCAGCTCTTTATCTGAATTCCTCGGTGCTGTAACTGGACTGGGAACTGCTGTTTTCCATTTTCTTTCTAAATTAAATCAAAATAACTTTTACTCAGGATACTATAAAAGTAGTTTAATATAAAACAAATAGGTGAAACTAATTAATGGAGAAATATTGACAACTTTTTTGTGTATGCTCTAGTCCCATTTCAGACTATGTAGAACAGCACCTTATTCTTTTATTTTCATCACATCACACTCACGAACCGTAACCCAAAAATAAGCTTGAAACAACTGTGGGTCAAAATCCTGATTAACAGAATAAAGAATTACAAACTATCTGCACCTTTACAATTAAATGTGTGCAAAGAAATCCAAAGCAGGAATACTCTTCTTGTAACAAGCTCAGAACAATTCTGATACAAATGCTGCTTTTGCTATGTAACTTTTTTAGCCTGGAAATGTAATTCTATTATTTAGAAGCATAAACTAAAGTCTTTGTTCTACCACATTAGTTTAGCTGGTACTCACCCCACTGTTCCTGTATGGAGGAAAGATTTGCAAGCAGCTGCTCATGATAAAGTCGTTCAAGCTGAATGAACTTCATGGCCTTCTCATCTGAATGGAAGGTTAAAGGCAAATGCATACATGGACATGGTATGACTTACTTATAATTGGCATCATGTTTGAAAGGGAAGTAATTATACACTTGAAATCTGAAATAAGTGAATCAAAATGAATAATGTCTAGCATCCTGATTTCTGTGCAAGAAAGAAAAAATAATAGCAGACATGAAAATGGCAAGAAAGAAGTAAAATAAGTTGAGAAAAATTCAAAAAATGAAACTCCTATTCTTTATGGCAGGTACCTCTTCCCATGTGCCTGAAGCACAACAAAAGATTTTTCTGGAAAAGAAATGACTGAAATGTTATTATGCTGATAACTTTACCAAAAAAGTGAAATCTCTAGGAAATGAAAAGAAAAACAATGACACAAATATCAGTACCTCTCTCTCAAGAAATACAAATATATGCCAATAATCATAACTAACTGAAAATATGGCTCCTATCTACTGACCAGCTAGAGACAGTATTAAAACAATTAATCCAACTTCAAGTTTTGAAAAATACCTGCCTCCTTTTCAGCCATTGTATACAACACAGTTTGACTGCTGAGTTTACCTTCTGTCTTCCTGAAGATTCTGCTCACTTTTCTTCTATATGAAGAACTCTTTCCCCTTGCTTAGGGTTGTCACTATTTTCACAAAGGTATACTGATAATCACATATTTTACAATAGTCAGGATAATTCCAGTTCCACCAAGACTGAGTTGTTAGTTGTGCTGTTTAAAGCTGTTTTACCAGCTATTTGAAATGTAATTCCACAATGAGGATGGTAGTGCAGTGAATGAGGTTCTTAGTAATACAAAAACCCATTATTCATGCTAATTAAAATACTGGAGTAATTATTACAAAAACACAACCAATACTTGTTATTCTGGTTAGCCTCATGCAACAGCATGGCTTATGAACAACAATATTAATGGAAAGAATATTCCCTGTCTTCAGGAAATCTTATTAGAAACAGAATTACAGATCACAGAGAGAGCCTTAGAGGACCACAGAAACAAGCCCTGAATTATTGTTAATATGAGGTTCCACATTGGATGAATTAAAATGTCTGTCATGGATAATTAATACAGTGCAACATGATCAAGTAAGTTCTTTATTAACCTCAGGAAACTGATGGCTGGAGGTACAGTGGAGATATCCTTCATAAATATGTATTATATAGTGGTGTTGAATTCCACACATCAGGTGTCTATTGCATTAAAAAATATTTCCTTTGATCAGCTTTAAATAGAATGCCTTTCAATTAAAGCAACTTTGATGAAAGAGGAACTGTTTCTACCATGCTGTTTATATTTTAAATTTATTGTATTTTCTCCTGCACCTTAATTTACCACAGATTTTTTCCATGCCTTTCATTTGTGCTGTACAATTCACATTTTCTGAGAGACACTTTTGAATTAGGATGACCAAGACAAAAGTGCAGTCTTCTAAAACTGTGATGGGTATTTTATTTTATGTGTTGCTTTTCTAATATTGCAACTGTTAGCTCTCTGGTTTTATCTACAGGCTAATATAATTTGTCAGGTTACTTATGCCTTGTTACTTAGCCTGCTAAATAATTGCCTATTACTGTATTTTGTTTGTACAAATTACATAATAAAGAAATAATTTGTATGCACAAATTCTGTAATATATGATGCATCTTAGTGAATCACATATACCTTCAGGGCTTAACACTGGCCTCTTCTTTTTAAAATTTGATCATTTTCCCTTTAGGCAAAGAGGAAATCCCAGTCTACCTTTTCTAAAATTCTAACTTAGCTTTGAGGTTTCATACTATTATTCTCTCACACAACTACTGAAATATATGAGAGTAATTATCAGCAGTTCAACTATTACAATTTTTTTACCAAACTTACCTGCATTATCTAGGAACAAATCAAAATAAACTGGACTATTAAACTGTTCCCAGAAGCAATTACCCATATTTTCCTACAATAATTTCTCAGACTACATTGATATGATTTTGACTAGTTAGCATTCGTCAAACACCATTTTGCTATTGTTTGCAGGTTGCTGATCTCAGCTCCATGTGTTTGGTATTTTTATTCCAATCTAGACATTTTTAGTACATATTCTAATCAACTGTTGTGACAATTTTATTATTGCTTTTTAAGTACCCTATTTGATGTAATACATATCCTATCTCTAAACTGGACATCTTCCCAGTTACTAATACTTAGATTAGAAGGTCTTATTAAAAAAAAAGTTATTTGAAAATGTTTTCTTACTTCCTTGCTTATGTCCATCTACTAATGATTGCGACAGTACTGCTGTTAGAAGTGAATTTATCCTCTAACTCACAGTCCAAATCCTCCTTGTTTGATTAAGGAGGATTTGCTAGCATATTGTGTATTCACTCACGGGTAAATTATAGTTGTTCACTTCTTCCTAACCCTGACCCACAAGATGTGAGTTAACAGCAAAGCAGTTGACTATCATGTTTTAACATACCATGTTATTTTAATACTGTACAACAATTTCTGCAAGCAAAAGGATACATTCTTCCTCTTGAAAATAGGTCTCAGCTATCTGCAAAAGTGAAAAAAAAATTAAGAATCTATAATTTTCATGGCAGTGGTAAGGACAAAATTGAATCTTTTTATTATAGTTCTAAATATCTGGTTTGCAGGTTCCTATTTAGTGTGGGTAAAATAAGTAAGTTCAGACAAAATACATGTATTCCCATTCTAGGAAAAATGTTTTAAGAGAGTATCAAACACCAAAGAAATATTAAGTGCTCTCACGCAAAACAGATTTACCCAAATCTTACAGTATTTTATGTTGCTTCAACAATAAAAATTATTTCAGAAACATTTTTAGTTATCTTAATAAAAAGCTTTAAAATGGCCTACAAGAGAAATACTCTTTCTACTGATACAAGTTCAAAAGTTTGAATTCTGTGCCTGACCAACGTTTCCTTGATCAAATTTAAATCATTGCTGTGTTCTCCTGAGCATTACACTGCAATGTGTTAGAACAGAAATGGAGGTTTCCTGACTGATGAGAAAAGAACAGTCTTTTGTCTCTCTGTATACAAAAAATATTTGAGAATTGCTACAATAACTTATTTGTGCTTGTTACAAAACTGTGCAGGCTCTCCTAGAAAGCTGAGGAATACTGACATCTTTGTTTGTAAATGCAATGAAATACAAAAAATATAAACCTCAGAAGTGTTCCACAGAGCTCTGCACTATCAGTGACCTTTACAAGCAGCAACTAATCAGTCCCCAGGGACAGCGAATTTTGGCAGCCTTCCTATTTGCCGTGCATGGTGATGTAATGCCAGAGCTTGCAAAATGTGTCCAGGACCTGCAGGTACCCAGATACCAGAAAATTCAGGTTGAGGCTCCTCATAGATGATTCCCCAATGACTTCTGTGGGAGCACTCAAAGATTCAGTCTCAAAATCTTTTGGGCAGATCGATTTAAGTGGTCATAATATAGAGAGCTTAAAGAAGCACTTTGGTAGAACTCTGGAGATGATTGCTCAAAAAAACCCCAGCAACTTGATAGAGGAGTCTAGATTACAAATTGTACTTCCTGGCTCTGTGCCTCACTACTAACTACTAGACCATTCTGAGCCCAGTACCTTCAAAAGAGAATAGGTAAGTGACTTTTAATGTTCTTTATCTGCACATTTTGTCTGTTGTCCACAATAGTCTCCTAAGAATTTCTGGAGCTGTCAAAGCTCTACCTGTGTTTCATATAAAAATACCTCTTAGATTCTGTAACAAATCCTAAACAAATCAAATGAATCCCATTCAAGACAGGAAAAAAATTGCATCCTATTTTAACTGGAAGTTTACTCTTAGAACAGCCCCTATTATCCAACAGCCTTTAAATATTCAATATAGGCTTCCCACAAACACCATGGATTGTTAATACTCCAGACCATTTGACACAGCTCTTGATTTTACACTGAATTTTGGCATAGAGAATAAAAAAAGAATATGATAGAAGAGTATTTTCTAGACTTGGTTTAATGTTACTGTCAGGCTGTATTAGCAATCTGAAAAAAAAAAAAAAAAAAGATTGAAGATGACAGATGAATTCACTAGAAAGGGAGAAAAATTCTTAATAGACTCACTTTACAGGAATGCTGCACTTAAAATCCTTCCCCCTCCCATCCTCTATTAAAAAACAGGTTACGAGCCTTGTAAGTTCCATTAGCTTTCTTTCAAACACTCCATTCAAAATGCTTGATAATTTTTAGGAAAAAGAGATAGTGTTTGAATACATATTTCAATCTGAATATGCAGATTTTGTTCTCAGTTCTGTCAGATTCTGTATGACTTTCAAAAAGTTCTTCCCCTTAGGGTTTGGCTTCCTCATCTAAAAAGCAACAGATTTCACCTCCATCATGTGCAATTGATCCCCTTGATGTTTGTAAAGCATTTTAAGTTTTTGCCCTATCTTGTTTTCCAAAAATGACCTTTGTACTGACTCATGAAAAACCACCAAATTTGATGAGGCTAAAAGTACAAATTGTTAACCCTAAAGCTAAGCTTCTCCTAAGTTAAGGAACAGCATCAAATATCTTTGCTCAAGCATGGATTAGAAAACATAATTTAAAATTCTATGTCAAATGTAGATTATCTATAATATGCAATCCTATATTTCTCCCATATAATTGCTTATTTGTAGCAAAGAAGAATGCAGGAATGTCATTGCAGTTTAGAAATTTAAAATATCTTCCAAAATAAAGACAATGCAGCTAAGTCAAATCAGACAGGTATAGTATCTCCACATGGCCCATATGAGACATCACAGCCCAGCAAAAGGTCTCCTAGTCTGCTGTTAGTCTGACACAACTGAACTGTAAATTAATACTGCATTAAGTTCTTGCCACATATTCGTTCTGCATCATAATCTCTAGGAAAAAAAAGCAACATACTGGCCAGTGTGTGAGAAAGATTGCTTTTCAAACCACAGTTTTTCCTTTGGTCTTGCAGGTGTGGCAACTGTACTTATATAAAGGCATACACCAAGAAACCTTGAATCCTAATATTCATGCATAAAATTTATGCTAGAAAGACATCTGTAGTAGTAAAAACAGTTCCAGATTTAAAATTTTATTTAGGTATCTGCTCTCCTGTAATTATACCAATGTCTTACAAACTTTATTCAAGGTATATTAAAGAGTGATTTTTCTAAATCTTCCTGCTGAACTAATTTTACCATTTGGGGAATTAGAAACCCATCCTTACCAGTTTCCTTTAACTACGGAATATACTCACAAGGCAATTTATAATATAACAAATATTAGAAGATCTTAGAGGGGATATTTGCCTTGGCCATCTGTTATGCATCAAAACATCCTGTCTAGTATTGGCATAAATTGCATTTATCCATATTTTTCCTAAAGAAAAAACGTCTCAAATAAAAATAAAATTGGGTGCAGCACTCCAAAATCATAGAAAGTACCTGATGGAGACACAGGGGCAGTATCTTTGAATCCATCTGCTCAACCTCTTCACGGAGCAAAGAGAAAAGAGACTGCAACGTTTGCTTTTGGTCTTTTGGATGAAAGTTTTCCTTTGCTTCAACAGTATCTTCAGCCTGCACAAAATCTGTATCTGTAATAAGAGTATTTTCCTCCTGGATTGCTGTGGTTCCCACTGTAGAAACACCTTTGAAAAGGACAAGGACTTAGGTTAGGATTCAAAAAAATACATTGAGTTTCTTTTTTTAGGAAATTTCAATATGAATGTTATGAATAAAAAGTATGTTAAACAACATCTCTGGCTAAACTAAGTACTGGCATTGTCAAAATTAGTTGTGACAGGTCTGTCTCACTGTCAGGTCACCTACCTGTCAGAACACAGTAACATACATCAGATATGTTTGTACACTTCTAACTGGGACCCTGCTTTCACTCACGGGAGAAAAAAAATCAGAACACTTAGAAAGTGTTATACTGTTATTAATAAGAGACCATGATGACCTAAAAGTGCTTAGAATGCAGTTTTGCTCAAAAAGGGCAAATAGCAGGCAGGTGAGCACAGTATGAATGAGGCTCTCAGTCCCTTTGCTCCTGCCAAAGACCTCATACAGGGGGGTGTCCTGGGGAGGGACAGACACAGGGAAGGAAGGACAATTCAATGGGTTCCTGCTTTTTAGATGGCAACACAGTGGCTCCTCACAGTGACAGCAGGATCTTAAAGGATAGAAAGAAGCAGATGATGCCAGTGTGGGATTCTGTTGTAGGAGAGAGATGTCTAAGGGGACTGTCCTGCTGGGTGAAAAGAAAGACTCCTCTACACGGTTGGATAGTTTGAGCATCCAGAGAAACAGGCAATAGTGCTGATATTGGTAATAATGACACAAGGCTGTCTAAACTGAATTTACATCCCAGAATTTCTTGCTAGACAGAAACTAGGTTCTCCATGGTACATTTCCAGGCAGTTCACTGTTGCCTGTTTCTAGTTTTATAGAAATCAAAAAAAGTCAGGTATTCAGGTAAAGATACAAAGAATAATGTGCAGCATTACATTATAAGAATATTACAGGAAAAAAACCCTTTCTGGGTGCAAATCCCACATTTTATTGTTAGAAATGCAAAACTTGTGTATTTTGATCATGAATATGATAGTTAGGAGAAAATGTTAAATGAAATTAAGAAAGAAGTGTAAAGTAGTAGTGGTGACAGCAGTAGTGGGAGAAATCAACTACCCATGTACTTACTGGGTCAGTTTTTCACAGATATCAGAGAATAAAAGCAATAAATGACAGCTTCCTGTAAAACACAGTCTTAGGAGCAACCAGAAAACTACAGCTGATTCCAACAGCTAATAAACTCCTTTTTATTTCTCCATAAAACATGAAATTTCACTCACTTGCATAAGACTAAACTTTAAAAAATCATAAAATTATTTAAAATTATTTAGAGAATTAGGTCACAGAAATGAGGACAATAAACTTTTAACGAACTCAAATTATGATGAGCATTGTTCCCCACCCATTTTCTGAAATCATGTTATCATTTGAAAGATGGACAGCTGAGGGCACTGTTTCAAGTATCTCTGTGTCCTCAGCCTGGGCACGCTGTTTCAGACCCTTTTGTTTTCATTGCCACTGAAACCCAATAATGATAATTCGGCTTGAAGATTTAGGACCTAAGAAAGGCATTAGCTTGTCCATGGAAGGCTCCACCATTCTACTTTTGATTATTTTAAACTCTTTATTTAGTAAACTATCCAGGTTAGGAGTACTAATAATCTCTGTGGGTGGCTATTTTCATAGGGCTTACTGCCAGAAAAAATATGGGTGTAACTTAGCATTGCTTTCCCAAAATTAATGCACATCTCTGATTTTCCGGTGTTTATTTGGGCTTCCTGTGGGCCAAAAGCAACAAGAGACAGAACTGGATGCAAGATACAAACCAGGAAATACTTCTAGAGATGGAATTAAGGCTGTCTTTAAAAATACAGCTTCCTGTTTAGCACATTATCGTGAAGCCAAAAAAGAGGGTCCTCATGTTCTGGCAAACATTTTCTCCCAGAAAAACAAAGAAACCAAACTCCACTTCAAGCTGCACTTTATTAAGCAGTTCATAATCACCTGTCATATCAAAACATGAACATTGACTGCAACATGCTCAATAGCAACTATCATGAAAAACCTTAATTTTAATGTTTTCATGATACTGTAGCTACACATAGTTTATAAACTGCATTATTATTTGTACATAAGGTTGAGCTGTCACTTGGAATCAAATTCTGCCCTCAAATTTCTTCCCTGATTTTGAAAGTGAGGCCTTAAAGTTATATGGGTTAATTCTAACCTGTTTGATTTTCAACACAAGACAGTATTTGTGCCTTAGTAGCACTACAACAAAGAACTTTTTTTGTAAACCTTAGTAATGCTATTTCATCATGAAGATGTGATGGGCTAAGATGCCTATTTCTTTCTTTTCTCCCTGTTCTTGAAAACAGCACACACTTTTTCCAGGAATCAATCAATCCATCCTGCTGTCCAAAGCAGATACATTTATTTTTTTTTCCACTAGGTATCTTACATATATTTCTGTTTTTACTAATAAGAAAGCACTAAGCTTTTCACTTTATAAAGCACTGATATTTACTTCCACCCCAGAATAGAACCAAAGCCTTTATACAAATTTATGTGAAAAGACACAGAAGACATCAGTGGCCAGAGCACTCAGCAGGTCCATGGCAAAGGGCGGGGTTCAAGTTTTTGCTCTGCCAGGCTCACAAATGTTTAACTGACCCCTTCCATGCCCAGTTGGGTGTGCCAATGTTTCCTAAAACATGGGGGGAAGCAAACTTTCTCTCAATTTCCCCAACAGCTCACAGAAGCAGCCCCACGTTTGCCTAAAAAAGATTAAATTCTGACACACTTTTTGAATAAAAACTCACATTTTTCAGTATGCCTCAAGTTTTTCTATATCAGTACTGCAAGTATATGAAATTAAGATGCTCTTTGTTACCTTCAAGAGAGTGAATCCGAGGTGCAAGTATGAGGGATTTGCTATCAAAATAAAATTATGGATGTTGCCCTCTGTTTTTTATGTGAAATTGAATTTTCATATTCAGTAGCACTAGCTTAAGTCACCAGTAGCAGAAGTTTCTAGTACAGAAAACATATGGCAATCTCTTTTTTTAAACATTCTTTGGTGCCCAATACAGAAAGCTGTTTCAGACTGATTCATTCAAGAATTATTGAGGAAAAAAGAAAAAAGACCAGCTAGTATTTAAAAACTATTCATTTTTAAAAGAAGAGATTTTGAGACTAAAGAGTTGGTGGTAAAGATACAACTTTAACTGAGCAAGCCCAGAATTTTGTTTAGTTTGGCACAGAACCCTAAATAAAATAACATCACTTGAATTTTCATGTAATTTGACTATGTTATATTAATATATTTTATTTGCTTCTACACCAATTCCATCCCAAACACTTTCTCCCTTCCTTCATCTTCAAACTGCTTTAAGAAATAAGTGGAATAATTTACAGAAAAAGCATATGTTGCAGAATTTAAGTTGGGGAAAAAAGATTGAGTGCAGATTACCATGCTATATTATGTTAAGGAATCATATAATGATTTTACAATATTAAGCTATGCCAGGACTGACCTTTTTAAAAAACTATGAACTTATTTTCAGAGAACACAGATAATTTGAAGCCCATATTTACAAAAAATATATCAAAACAGATTAAACTCGATGAATCACTATCTCTACCACACTAAAGTTAGTACAACTCTTTACAGGGAATAACATTATGAATAATCACCAAAGTTTAAATCCTTCAGTTAAAATGTACATAAATTCTTTGGTCACAAGTTCTCCCTAACCAGATATAAACAATCATCATTCAAAACTTTGATAAGGATACAAAAAGAATGTGAGAAAAAATTGGGGTCTAGAAGCTATAGATTTGTCAATCCACTCTCAATCTCCTACAGCATCAAGAGGGCTAAAAGGAGGTGCTTCCTCAAACAATAAATAGATGAAACCTGGAACTGCTTACACCAGGACACTGAACTGGATGCAAAAAACAAGGCAGGTGACAAATTCACTCTAAAGTATTACAGTCTATCAATTTCCCCTTGGGGAAGTCCTGAGATTACTGCAGATGGGGAGCAGAACATGCCAACAAATCACTTCACGTTTGCCTTGTCCTTGTACTGTCACCTAGAAATCCTCTGTTGGCCTCTGTCAGGGGAAGAATATTGAGCCAGAAGGATCTTCAACCAGATACAGTGACTGTTAATCCTGCATTCCAGTTTACTAATAGGAAGCTAGGATAATTTTAGCTTCACCACATCTCAAGCATATACAGACAGATAATAATCCAACTTATAACTGTTTATTCTTCACAAACAACTATTTAGAGGGTTTCAAACACATTGCAAGTGCGAGTATTTGCCCTCTCTTCTAAAGTAAAAACATGTCAAGAGTGAAAGATTGGCTTCTCTAATGATCACCAACATTTTGCTGAGAAAGTCACAAGTAAACAAAAATGACTAAAATGTAATTTTCCATATCCCACATAAAGTGCTTTAGTCACGGGAAAGAAGAGAAATATGAACAACATTCTTTTTAAGTCAAATGTCATATTTTCTAGAATGGCAACATTTAACAGCAATCCTAACAGGTGTGCCTATAGGAAAAAAGATTCATAAATCTCTTCTTAGTTATGAGTCAAAGTAACTCATCCATGATTTCTCAACAGTTTAAAATATTTTTTTAATAAAAATTGCAACGATACATGCCATGCAATTATTTAGTTAGATATTCCAGCTTGCTTGTGTGGTGCTCTGCTGTTACTCACTCAAAAATCTTCCACTCTAGTTTGATTATTCTCTCCTTTAACTCTGAGTTGGTATACAGAGAAGAAAGCTAGTTTGGACCTTTATGCAGAGGGTGTAGTGAAATACTCAGGAATCATTCAAAATAGCTGGTTCTGGAAATTAAATGGAAGATTGCCACTAAAATAATGACATTTGCAACATCAAGAAATTGTGACACAGTCAACTGCATTTTTTGAAAACAGAAGAAACATCACATGAGAGTATTGAAAAAATGACTAAATGTATATTAGCCCATAAATAATGGGAGATATAATGTAATTTTATATTTTGATCTTCCTCTATAACAATCAAGGTTCTTTACTAATACAGTAACAAGAGTTTATTTGTAAGAATTCAACAAAATTCTTCAGAGTTTTGCAGACAGGATGTTCTCTTGTGTGGTTTTCTACATTGCCAGGCTTTCCCATGAAATTTTCTATATTTTTAGGATTCTACTTTTTGTCCTAAAACTTCAATCTACTTTGGACAGCTCATTTTATGGTACTTCTGCATCAGTTCATTCAACAAGAATACAAACTAATGGAGAAAGAATACGAGCCAAGTTGAACTTCCAGTGTTTAGGTGAGTTTTTTCCTCTTCCTCCTCTTATTGTGCTTCAGATACCTATGTCAACACATACTTGTAACTTTTCATCAACTTGTTTTTTGTTATTCCCATCATACAGATGACTGGTTCTGAATTACTTCTGCCAATCTCATTTTAATTATTTTGTTATTAAAACTTAAATCTACGGATGAAATATATCTACTTATTAAGTGCTGAAGAAAATTATTGAGAAATCATTCTCCCTGTAGCAACAGATTTCAGAATGTTCTTATGTCTATTAGAAAATATAATTTTTCTTTTCAGATTTTGCCTATTTGTACAAGATATGGAATGCAAGGCCTCCTTCCTTTCCTGTCTTTACCTATTCTATAATCCCTTAAAATAATAATCAGTTTTCTGATTAGGTCACAGAAGACTTGCCATTTATGAGGAAAACTGTATTTTAAAATTATTTAGTTTAAAATGCACGGAAATAAGCACACATAAATCAGCTGTTCTTTCAAAGAAACCTATGAGTGAAACATACTGATTTTAATTAATATATACAGCACTATGACACATAAGCTTTAGGATGTATGGCAAAAACCTAATACAACACATAATGTTACACTAAATCCTACTCCCTCAAAAAGGGAAGAATGATTTCAAATAAGAACATGCAATAAACATTACATTTTCCTTATCCAATTCACATCCAAAATATCGAAAGAAAAAGTAACATCAAAAATTGGTAGGAACACATTTTTTAACAGTTTGTTACCCAAAGCACATAACCTTGGCCTATCTGGTAAGCTTTGAAAAATACAAGTAAATTTTACAACAGCAGGGCAAGATTAAGCTGTTTGGTACTCATAACAAGATTTCTAATCTTGACATGGGATCAAGACACCAAAATCTTGCACTCGACCATGATATTCAAATGAGCAAAACCACAATGCCAGAATTTCTGTCTATTTGGATTTGGACACCAGCCCAGTTTCCATACTGACACTGTACCTCCCTCTACTCCTGTTTACTTGGTGTGTTACATTTGCTACATAGCCACTGTTTAAATTCACAAGGTGAAAACATGTAGAGTTGAATCTGATTGAAGACTAATAGCAGTTCTGGGGAAAAAAAAAAAGTAAAACAAACCAAAAACCACCAAGCCTTTAGTGAAATGCTAAAAATAATTAGTACAACAACTAAAATGTATTTCTTATTAGCTCAAAGATTTACACTATAGTGTTACTTCTGAAGTAAACAGAACAAAAAATTTTAAATGAAGTACCTTTAGATTTTTTACTAGAGCTTCTTTTGCTTCTTGGACTTCTTTTTCCACCTGGCTGTTTCTCAGTAATAGGTTTTTCCTCCAGCTGAGGGTCCATATGGACATTTACAGATCTCACAGTCTCACTTTCCTTACAGCTTGGGATCCAGTCTCCACTGTCCATATTCTCATTATTATTAATGTTATCCTGTTCACCTTTATCCTGTCGTCCCATAGCAATGCTGCTACTGGTCAGAACTTCATTCCCATCACTGTCAAGTTGATTTTCATTTTCATCAGCTGAAGGAATCAAATGAGATGCCAAACTTTCTATCCTATAGTTAGCAGGAAGACTGTCATTTGAGTCTATTTGCAGATCATTTGGTGGAAAGTCTCTGTCATCCATTAGAGCGTTACTTGTTGAACCACTTAATCTCCCTCCAGATATTTTTAGACCTAAAATATAAAATGGAATGAAGCATTTATAATATGTATACTATAACAGATAAACCATGTCAGCCAGTGCCAGCCAATAAAGATTCATCAAAGCCAATAAAGATTAGCCAAGTGATACAGCAAATCAGGGAATTTCTTTCATTCACTGACCCATTTAAAGTCTTAACATGGGGGATATTTACAGTCAAAAAACCTATAGCTATATTTTTATCCAATTATAATTGTTCCACTTACCTTAGCAAAAGCACAGCTGATCTTTACAGCAGTGCTGCTGTTGTTACAGCTGAAGTAATGAGAAAAACAAAAAGATAAACAGAAGCCACCTCATGTCCCCCTCCTCCCCCCCCTTTAAATCCATGGCTAAAACAAAAGCATTCTTGTCACATAAGATCATAGTTTGCCTGAAATAAAAATAAACCAGGGGAGAATAAAAGTAGAACAACTTTTAATTCTGTCAGTGATGGTATCAGATCAAACTTGCAGATAGATTAACTGTTATCCGAATTAGATGGAAGTAGAACCTGTTTATTGCCTCAATTGTCATATTATTTTCAAGAAAACATTCAACATGTCTTCAGGATACACAGAAGCAGATGGTTTGTTGATAAAAAACCAAAACCCCCACCTACTCTCAGCAGGAGTCAATTTTCCCTTTTTGTGAAGATGCAACTCCAGTCAATGCTGCAATTAGACACATTCACAGGAACAAAAAAAGAGTAACTTATGAGAAGACCTACATGTTAAAGGACCACTTTTGTATCAGTTCCTATCTTTAGCCTTTAGAAGCATGGCAATACTGCTGTTTGAAATATACCTGAAATACAGTTCCATTATGTACATCTCACTAGCTCACATTTTAAATAATGAAGCCAAGAATCGGCAAGCACTCTTGTATTATAGAGGAGCTTAGGTTAAACCTCCTACAGCAGCTTTCTATACTTTCCTTTAAATGAAAATACATTTTAGGATACCTGTTTTCACCAGGCTTTCTTAACTCTTGGTATACACAACTGGAGTAAATGAAATGCACACTTGCTAAATATGCAAGATAATATTTCCTTTTACTTGCTAGAAGAATTAAATATAGTAACTGGAAAAAAAATTCAAAATACTAAGTAGCCTTTCCTTCATACACAGAAACATAATTCGGACAAAGATTATTAAAGAGATTTTCCCCAAATTATTCTTTCATAAACTTCATAGTTGCCAAAAGGACTGAGAAAAAAAAGAAAATTAAAAAAAAAAAGCATCGCTCCTATCCTAGGCACAAGAAGGAGGATTTAGGGAGCTACAAGCTGCTCTGCCTCACCTCAGTCCTTGGAAGGTATTACAGCAAGTTAACCCAGAAAGCATTTTCAAACATCTGAAGGTAAGGAGGTCATCAAACACAGTCAGCATGGATTTATGATGGGTAAGTTGTGCTTCTACAAAACACTGACTTGCTTAGAAGCAGGAATAATGGATGCCACTTACTGTGACTCTGGTAAAGTTTTTGACACTGTCTCCAACAACATGCTCACAGAAAAGCACACAAAGTACAGGCCTGATTAAACAGATGGTGAGGAGTTCCAGAGAAGCACAGAGAGGGCAACAAGCCACCACCACTGGGCAATACAAAAGCAAAAGCCAGCACCACCCAGGACAACTCCATCTCTGCTTCCAACCTGAAGAACTGGCTCACCACTTCCAGCCATTCTAGTCTAACAAAAGTTACTGCCTACCCTAAAACATATAAGCAGCACCAAGAAAGGTAAGACTGGACACTAGGAAGAATTTCTTTACTAAGGGTGTGGTCAAACACTGGATCAGGCTTCCTAGAGAGCTGGTCAATGTCCCAAGCCTGTGTAAGAGGCATTTGGGCAATGCTGTTTACAACACACTTTAACTTTTAGTCAGCCCTGAGTTGCCCAGGCAGTTTGACAAGGTGATAACTCCAGGTCCCTTCCAATGGAAACATTCTATCCTAGTCTAGAAGAATTATGTATTAGAGACGGAAGTTGCATTTTCCTTTGGTAGTCACATTAGATGATAATTGGTCTTCCTTGAGCACCAGAAAGACAAAGGGAACTCTAGAGATACCTGGAAAAGGCATCTGTTCATTAGAAGGGTGCTCCTTAATCAAGCAATTTTCTCTCAAAGAGAATTAAACACAAAATGAAAGGTTAAGAGGAGGACAGAACTTTAATCAGACCAGAAAGAATCAGAAGCAGATATAGTTAGACACCCACACTACAGCTATGTTGATTTATTGATACCTGTTCTAAAGCACCAAAAAAATAATCCCAAACACAAAACTATATTTGAAAGGTTCACTTTTTAGTCTTTCTGCCACATGAAATAATAACTACTGCTGCTTTCCTCCGCTCATAGATCAAATGATGCATCAAAAGAGGTTGAAGTAAATTGCCCAAACTCAATGAGGAATTAGTTTTAACAGCAAAAATTAAAAATCAGGATGTCCTACCACCACTGTCTTGCTTCTGTCCGTAGAAAACAGTTTATACTTCCAACAGCCAGCAAAGGGAAAGAGAAATACAGATGCATTTGAACAAGGTGTTTCCTATTTGATTGTGAAAAATGAGAAAAGATGCTTTTGACAACTGATATTTGCTGTAGAGGAAGCTAACATTCTGATGGAAAATGTTAACTCACTTCCTTTGAACATTTGGCTAGAACGATAGTCCCTCTGCAGCTGAGAAGCTGAAAAACACAACATTTCTTGGTTTATTGCTTGAAACTCAGTATTTCTCCAAGTAAAAGTAGCCCTGAAAATCTATTCCTTTCTACAACCCTTAGGACTCCTTAGAGAATGAAAACCCAAAAAGAGCTAGTTCAAAGAATTTAGAACAGTCTTGCCCTTGATCTTTTAAAAGAATTTCCCCTCCTGCCCAGATGAAACTTTTTACCTTCTTGATTTTCACTGCCGTTATTTGCAATTCCTTTTGAATTCACCAAGGCACTGGGCAGATATCAAAGTGAATCTAAATCCTGTGAGAATGAATTTTAGCTCTGTCTAAAAACATAAGTAGAAACACTTATTTCTAAACAAAAATGAAATTAAAATAATTTAAACTATAATTATTTGAACTCTATTTAAACTTTTTTATTTAATTTAAACTATATTTAAAAGATCATTAACATGCAGGTCTTGTATTTACTGTTTTGCCACTGAAATGAATTGTAAACACAAACAACATGCCAATAAAAAAATGTTTGTTTTTTCACAGGCCCATCTTTCCTCCCTTCACTGGTTGCCCAAAATTGAAATAAAAGCTAACACTTAGTAGGACTATGCTGACCTTTGTTAAAAGGTACTGATGAATAAAAGTGCTTGAGTTGCCACACAGATTCATACAGTTGGCACATGCAATCATGGTGATTATAACACAAAGTAAAATAAAATGGAAAATATTTGCCAAATGGCTAAAAGACAAAGTCTGTATTGAAGAAATTACTTATGTGTATGTTTGCTTCAGGACAAACTGTATGTACATTAGAGAAATGGTCCTCACTTGCATTTTAAAACTTCAGTTTAAAAGGCTCATGCTCATCAGTGTTCTCTTTCATGTACTTCATGAAACTTAATATAATTTTGACAACTTTTTCAGTTGCTCACTTTTTCCCATCTATCCTTACTATGAAAATATAACCTTAAATATAGCTGTTTGGGAAAAAAAAATGGTAGTAAGAAGTAGGATCATTCCTGACCTGGCATGGGTAAAATTTGAAGAGGGAACTGAAAACAAAACAAAACGACAAACACCACCAGGCCCCTTAAACTTTCATACTAACTCAGCTCCTCTATCCTGGACAGCTGGTGGGCTCTGTGAATATTTACTGAACATACAGTGTAGAAATATTTCATTTACTGATCTCAAATATATCTTACAGAGCAATCCAGATCATAACATTGTTTATTCTAACTTCCAAAAAGTTTACATCAAGCTGTTTGTTTATTCCATTTGATTGCCTTCATACAGCTCCTCTGCCAAAGACACTATTTTCCTTCTCTCATTCTCATGCCATTAAATTTTTCTGTGTTAATTAAAGAAGTTTAAGTCTTCTAATTCTTCGAAAGTCAGCTTCCCCACTATATCACCAACATTGCTCTATTAAAAATGAATGGGCATTTCAGACTGGTTCCCAGTGTTGCTTCCATGCAATATTTTCATTAACTTTTATGATAAACCACAATAGCAGAATATAGTCTGGAGTTATAAGCAGTTATAAGCATTTTTGAGGATTTAATTCAAAATTATTTGTAGCAATAGGTGCTCCAATAGGAATAATATAAAATTCACTAAGACAAACAGAATATCCCCAACCTTTTGGAATAAATAAGGCACATCTATGTCAAATAGGGATTAACCAGTCATTTTGTTAAGATGAAAAGCATCTCAAAGAGATATCAAACAGAAAACTGCCCATGAGTCCAAGCTTTCTTTTTCTCCTGAGATACAACACAGCAAGTGTTACATGCACAAGAGAATTCACTATGTCCTACCAAGCACTAATCAATTACAATCGTGGGGATTTTTTCTGTGCACAATACACAGAATAAGATGTACACAAGGGAACCTGGATCCCAGCAAGGTAAGAGTTTTAAGAATGGAAGAGTCAGCACTACATCTGGCAATAGAATTCAGTCTAAAAAAGTTTGCTATGTAAACAACCAAACAGGTTGTCTAGAGATTTTGTGTCATTCCCATTGTTTTAAATAAGAAATTTAGCAAGTCTCAGGTTTAAGGACAGTTAAAAACTAGGCATTTACTAGTATTAAAGGAATTTATCTCTCTTTATTGTTGCAGGGGTTTTAATATCATCCCCCTCCCCTCTTTTGCTAAAATACAAGCAGCTTTACAAGTTCTAGAGAAAAAAAAAAAAACAAACCAAAACCGATTCCATGAAAATGAAACAAGTATTTTTAAATACCATTATGTTTACAGAGTTGGTGCTTCTACCATTAGAACAAAAAGAGGAAAACTGTAGAAACACTAAAA